AGCGCCTGACTTGTACTGAAAGGCTGCTGCCCTTAGAGCTGTGAGACGAGCCCAATCAGGTGGACCATCCCAGGATATTGAATAGGAGTGTGCGAGTGGCTTGCGCGCATTCACCGTGTCTAATGTGATTTGAGGCCGTATTCTGCAGAGTGGATGCCTAGAAGCCCCATCGTGACGAGCAAGACCTGGCGTTCACGCGCGAACTTCACGTGCAAACAAGACTGTCCGTCCGACCCAAAGAACTAGCCGATTTTGCATACGTCTTGGGTCATTGGTACGTTCGCGGTGCCGAGCTGACACTACCGTACAGTTCTCCGGTAACTGTTGATGTACATGCGACGGTCACAGAGCATTGAGCGTGCTCAAGTTTACGAAACGAGGGCCGATCACTCCGAGAAAGGCAGGTCAAAGAGCATGTATTATGTGGCAGAACTGAGAGACGACGAGGGAAAGAGAATGAGCGACGGTAGCAAAGCGGCTATGTACAAAGCATGTCTGTAGGGGTATTTGACCAGAGTCTAGCTAGGGACAACAAGACGGCTTCCGGGCAGTGAGCGAGGTGCACGATAGCGGACGGATGGAGAGTACCGCACCATAGTTTTCAACCAGGCAACAACTACAGCTAGCACACGAGGTTGGCAAGCAGTTATTGTCCAACACGACGGCAGCACTTACAATCAGTAGAAAAGGTAGCAGTAAAGCAGGAAAATGGCAAAGAGGAGGGTCGGGAGCAGGTTCCAGAGGTGCTTGAAGATGAGTAGGTAAAGCTGGAACTGGAGGTAGAGGGCTACCGCGTGCCCGGCAATGTAAATACCGAGCACGGCAACGACGAAGAAAATAAGGGTGTTCTGCGGACAATGTTTGTTGATGCACTTGGCGATTGAGCCTGAGACTCACCATTGCCAGTGACGTCACGTTATTTGGGAGAAGCTCGGCTGTTCTGGTCCGGCTGCCGATCGAGCGGGGATGCTGACGCAGGACTCCGGAGGCCGAAGCGCCCAGATTCCTTGGTCCACGTGGAGTTATCAAGCGCCCATCTCCCGAACTCGGTGGCCTTTAGATGCTTATCGACTTTTCTCGCCCCCCCCCCTTTCTGTTCGCCCTCATTGCATTGCCCACATTCTACCCGTCAGTCGTTGGCCATCGAGAATGCTAACTACTTCAGGCGACGGCAGAAATATCAGATTGGAGCTCGCTAAATAGCACGCCAGACGAACCAGTCGCTGTGTACGTCACTACTCCCCCTTCTCTCTTCGTTACTTGGCATCACTCTAACATGAGGTACGCATGTTCGTCTATATGTCGAGGGCGGCCCAATATTCACTTGTTTGTTCAGCACGCAATCCAAGGTATTTCCAGTAGGGGAGATGAACATCCGCGATTACATGGGCCGTGCATTGCGGCTTTAGATATCCTTGGTAGCTCGGGACAACAGCATGCGAACGTTGCAGACAGGTTGCTTGGAGAGAATGCTGCGCAGACCATGTACAATTCTTTTTCATCGCTTCGCGGCTGCGTAATGCTGACCGAAAAGGTGTAGCCTCTGCAGTGGATGTCCAAATTTATCCTTCTGAAGCGTGACTGAGCTGTGCGTGCAGAGCTGCGATCGCGAACGAGAAGCGGAGGCGGGAGAGAGGGTCACACGAGCGATGAAGGCAGAGATTTCAGAGCTGGCTACGCTCATACCAGAGTGCCTCATAGACACAGATCCCAACGGTCAGTTTTTCCCTTCCGTGTCGCAGCCTTCGTTTCCTGCTGAACTTCCGCAGCTGCCATGATGGCCATGCCTGCGTCTCTCTCTACGGTGACTAGTGTCGCAAAGGACGGGGCGGCAGGTCTTCACCTTTGCCACCACTGGGTTGAACGGCGGTCGATACTGCCACTTCATATGTGCCCGGCCAGTCTCCTGTCAGGCAGAAGCAGGTGCGTTCTTATCCCGTCTTTCTTTGTAACCCTTCTGACTCTCTCAAAGCATTCAAAGCCCTGGACGCGTGTGCATCTGATGGATCAGCTGGTCAGCGAAGGGCTCATTTCGGTCGGACGACAACATGGGCGAAGTCGCCTCGCCTCTCCCAAACCCCAGTGATGGCAACACTGGCGACATTGGCGAGATGCATCTACACGATGACCCGACGCTGTACCTGCACAAGCGCATCTCTTGACATAGTGGACTGCGTCGACGTGCTGCGGCGATGAGCGTGCTCCTGCTGAGCCAGGCTGCGTACGTCTTGTCCCCAGCGAATCATCCGCCAGCTCTCGAGACCGCCATGGCAAGCACCCCGTTTGATCCGGAGCACACGTGCACCCATTATCATCCGTGCGGATGATTTCATCTGCGAGCTCGACCTCGACAAAGGTGCGTGGACTAGTTTCGGGCCTTGGAATCAAGCCGCATCTGACCTGTTTTGTCATAGACATGGTCCGCCACCGCGCGCCGTGCGCACCCCCTGGATGAAGCTGAAGATGCGACGGCCGGCGTATCCAGCCAGCACTGCCCACCACCGCCCATATCCAGCCAGACACTGCCCATCACCGCCTGCCGCCCCCACCTCGCCGCCCCCAATCCCTCCTTGCATCTCATTCTGTTGCCCATGCGGACAAAGTTGACTCAGCCCCGCCTCTCTTGAACACCGGCGGTAACCGGTGAGATGCGTCTGCACGGCGACGACCCGATGCTGCTGCGCCTGCACGAGCGCATCTTGACATGTCGGACCACGTCGATGTGCTGCGGAGGAAGCTCAGCGACACGGAGGACAACTTCCGGAAGCGGCTTGCCGAGAAGCTGAGCATGCACGACGTGTCAGTAAAGATTTTGTTTCTATTTTTGATTTATTGTTGACGTCGGCCTGCAGATTAAGCTCAAGTCCGGAACAAATTCTATGTGGGGTATCTACATTGTGTACCTGTACAATAAAGCCGGCTTATGGATCGAGCGCACCATGTCGACGTTCCGCGTTATGGCCCTCTTGGTTATTGCGTTGCTCGTCATTCTGGCTGTGCTGGTGCAACCGACATTCTGCAGGTCCCTTCTGACTAGTTCTCAACTCGCATCGCACAGGATGTCGCCTCCCCATATGATAGCACGCACGCTTGGTGTGATAGATGCCACCAAGGTCTCAATGAGCAGGGCTGCGCCGCACGAGACCGTGCCGAGTGGCGGCACCGACATCCCTGTGATACAGGTCGATGTGCCCGCGAAGGAGTCGCAGAGCAACGGCGCATATAGGCACTAGGCCATGGCCGAGGGCTTGCCGATGGAAGTAGCATGACGGTGTTGCCTGTGTGGTTGCGTGCACGGTGACTGTACCGGAGCCCACAACCCTAATACACTGCAATGATATTTAGTGCTGCCCCTGCTGTGACCCCTCTGCTGTGACCACCAGCCCTGCCATCGTTGCAATAATGATAATTCCACCTCCTTGTGGGCGCTCCTCAGGATGCGCTTTGCCGATACCGCTTTTAAGGGATTTCTGCCAGCACATCATTCACTTTCTCTCCACCTCCATAGTCTTGATATGCAAGTGGTTATGTTGCACTTCAAGCCTGCTTTGATGCCCTTCAGCGGGTATGGAGTGTACATAACCGCAGGTCTCAATGCGTCAGTCCGAGCTGCCCTGGTCTTTAAAACATGCAAAAGTGGATGCAAGGTATCCGTCAACTTCTCTTTGCCTTCTGCATGTATAGCATATCAGCAGTGGGCTCTCTCATGATGCCTCCGCTGGTGTGCTAGCATGCACAGGCTGTCGTACTTCCGCATACTGACTTCTAGTACTATAGCCATGACTCTCCCTCTTTATCACCATCGCTACCGTCATGTCTCTGGCAAGCAATTCCTGTCCTTCGCCAGGAAATCTTTGCTGCAAGCCGTTGCTACCATCGCCCAACGTCATAAGCGCAGATTCGACGCTAGTCTCGTCCGCCTCACTGGCGCACTTTGGAAATACACTGTAGGGCCTGTTGTACTCACCAAGGAGTTTTCGCAAGGAAACACGAAGTGGAACGCTTTGTTCCGGCCACCTGAGTCCCGGACGGCGGGACTGAGACTTGTGCGTGGCGAGGATGGACAGTTGGCTGGCAGAGGCGACAGCGCTCTTGTGAACTCTGGGGCAGTGTATCCGTCATTGGTATTCTATCAAGGTACGTTGTATCGTCACACGTCTCACGGCTATACTAAACGGTTCTATTCCAGCCGAAGCGCGACAAGTACTTCGTGCTCTCGTGGTGGGAAAAGAGGCGCAAGATGCAATGGAGGAGGACACGCAAGAGTTAGCTGACGGTCGTGTGCTTCGGCTCACCGTTCTCCCCATTGAGTGTCATGGATAACACGATGGTCCACAGCTGCACGTTTCTCTCACCTCGACTCGTTCTTCGGCAAGGGCGAGCCCGACGAGCAGACAAAGCGCTACATCGACCTCATGATCAAGCTCTTCTCCCACGAACACATCGCATCCTCACCCGCTTCAACCTCCACATCATGCCTCCACATCATCCTCGACCTGCCCCTCTTGCTGGACAACCCCGGCAGGGACTACGCGGCCCAATGGACCGAGACTGAGAGAACGAGGGCGACTACACGGGGAAGCACACGCGCGCGATGATGTGGTCCGAGCGGATCCAGAACATGTCACTGGAGGGCGTGGGCATGGGCCGCGGACGTGGGAGAGTTGCCACCTCTGCAGCTTCTT